TGTGCTAATCGATATAACTGATTTCAAGGCTAAAAACCTACAAGTCATGACAAAAAACGGTGAGCAGAAAAAGTGGAAAACCTGATGCAAAGACCTACTGACCACGTGGAACTCCAAATGGACGAAACCAGCACATACAGTGCATGAACTGCTATGAATCATGTTTTTCCGAAATTTCTTGATGAAATTTGACATGACAATGAGACATACCATTGCCAAATAGAGAAATCAAACGGATTTGCATTATGACTTTGTTAAACTGATTTATCCCCGAAAAATTCGCTCCGGTGGATTCTATTAATCCGAACCCAGGAGAATGACGAAAATAACCCGGTGCCTACAAAACAGATCAACCTTTATTAGTGCCATGACTGAAATGCAACACGCCATGCACAATTCTAATCAGGTTCCGTTCTGTGTGAACTTCCGAGTTGTTCTACTCATTAAGGATAACTGTTTTTAATTTGTGGAGTACCAGTAGATGCGTATAAACTCCAATTTGCCAGTAGACCACAGACATGTTGTGTTTGATGTTGGCTGGTCAGTCTATGCCCTTGATTTTTCGGTACAGCAACCACCTTCGATCGATAGAGGCATTATTGTGAGACGAAATCATAGTTCTCCATCGATTTTCTGGACTTGTGTGAAGAAGAGTCTCATTCAAGGTTCTTACCTTAGATTCAGCTGTCTGACCGAAACAATGGAATCACAGACATGAACAGAGCCCTTGACATAAGCCCGGTGGTTGAAGACTAACTTCCTCTTAGGCAAGGTATACCAGCAGTACATCCGGACTGTAGAGATTCAACTTTTTCTCGTCGCAGAACATCACCCCATTCCATTCAGAAGTTCGCTTGATGTGACCTTTCACCCCGGCAACTCGATTATCAATATGACAATCGGCTATCCACGGTGCTTGTTTCATTTTCCTGAACTGGAGCAGTTTGTAACAGTTCCTGTACATACACACACGCACTCACTGTAGTTTCAACATGCTCGTTACCCGAATGGGGGCAGCACTTAAGAGCTGTCTCGCGACTTGGTCATAGGTGTTCCGTCAAGTTCGACATTTCTTCTTTGAGTTAGACAGATGTTGGTTGGCCAGATATTTACGACTACCTCGTAGTGATCGATTAGGTTTTCTTGCAGTTTTGGGAACACTGGTGCCTAGATCTTCATGGGTGAGGATTTTTTCTTGCTCCAGCTCCGATAGCGTTGAACCGCATACTGCTATTCCATATCGACAAATGATGAACTCAGCTACGATGCATGATCGTGGAGATCGTCGCCTAACTGCAGATACGGCGTCGATGTTGTTCAGTTTTGTATAACTGTGGTGATCTTAGCCCACGAGATGACGCACATACCACGGAGCGACGCGTCACAGTCTTCGGACAACTGTGATGAATCAAGCTTCCCAAGTGACGTCAGCAAAGCGCGCACGTGTCACAGCATCTGGACTACAAACCATAGGCCGATTGTACCAACCAGTCAGAAACTGTGCGGCCCAGACAGGAGCTGAACAACACAAGAAATGCCAGCAGGCGATTGGTAGAGGCTTGGATGACCAATGAATTTGTTTTGTACATGTTATTTAATCTCCCTAATTTCTTTCAATAAACGAACTGCTATTCCTGCGTCCTTTTTCTCGCGTCTCGGTTACGTGGGATACTGTCTTGCAAGTAATTGTATGATCCGGTGCTTGAGTGGCGTAGGTGATTTCTAATTCGAGATTCGTTTTTCGTTATTCATATTCCGTGGTCACTGCGTACTAAAATTACTACAGTTTTTACAATAACCCCGACATCGACTATTGCATCTAAAATAGGACTGGTCCGTACGGATTTATTTAGTAAAAATCCTTTTGATTTCTCCGTACATTAGTGAGTTGCATCATCAGCATGCCAAAATTGCCCGTTGTCATTAGTACAACACTTTGGGGCTGTGCACTATTTTTTTGGCGAGGGGGGGGGGGATGTCAAATTTGTTAGTCTCACATAAGATCCCGGATGTAGCACAGAATCCGTATTCGGAATTAGATTTTATCCATTTTCCTTCTGCAATATTTGTCAACTCAGTGTACCTAGCTAAAAGAATGTGCACTTCACACCCAACCTAGAGAAGTGCTCTCCTTGCCACTTTATTCCGTGTCCACAATACCACACGCTATCTGAATGGATTCACAACACAGTGAACGAGCTCACCATTGCAATAAAATGGAGATTAAAAAAAATAAACTGCTGAAAGAAGTAGTATTAGTAGTATTGATCTTAGTCTGTCGTGAGTATCATAGAAAAATTTCAGAAGCACTATCGGCATGGGAGAAGCGAGAGACTGTGGGAACAGAATGAGAATATCAATTATCCGGGCTACCAAAAATGCAGCGCGCGAGAGAAAGAGAGAGTGCGTGAGAGAGAATAAGAAATACAAATCAGTTGAATAGTTTTCAGCAGACAAACTGAAGTCACTATGCACTACGATATCCAATCCCCGTCTCCATTACTGCGATCGACAGAATAGAGCAGAAGAGGGGGACAAAACATATGGGGAATATCGATATGGAGAAAGAGGGAAAAATATTGCAGCCTTCTGAGGACTTTATCTAGGGTGAAACGAATCATGCACTCACCCAGTGTATGTGTGATACGGCGTATACATATATATGTGGTCAACGCTCACCGATTGGCAACAGCCCGGCTCGCAGGCTGGGACGAGTCAGTCGCGCGGTGCTCACATTCGGTTGACGTTGAACAAGCGGCTCAAACGGATGTATGTGTAAACAGCTGATGCCCCGGTTGCAATGGCCAGTTGACCAGAATTCCTGACAAATGGTCGTCTTGTACAGTGGATGACTACGCGGATCCCGTAATTCGTGCTCTCCGTGAGCAAATTGGCAAGCGAGACCGCGCGGACAGCTCTTGCTGGTCAGGAACTGACGACACAACTGTGTTTTGTATAAAATATTATTGTGAAACACAAGTCGTTTTTTCCTACCAGGTCGTGAGGTGTTACTGCTAGCAGTTGTGGTGGTAGCTTTTCCCCGGACAGAGTTTGACCCCGTGTTACCCGACGCCACCGAAATCGTCTGGAGGGATCGTAATGACTCCATCGTTCCATTCATTTGCCCGACATTGGACGCATGTACTGTGAAATGTTCGTTCGACATCTGTACGACATTTAGATCAGATGGGTTGTAATTGGCCATATACGGTTGATATGTGATTGGGACGGGTAGTGCCGATGGTGCAACTGGCGATGGGCATCGCAAATGAGTTTGACTGGGAGGATTTGAAAACCAATCCCCAATTGGTTGCACTCCACCGTGATATATAGGAACGAAATAAATCATCGGTGAGCATGATAAAGACGGTATTGCCGTTGTTGTTGTTGATGTTGTTGTTGTTGTGGGAACGGTGGCATTTGTCGGAGTGAATGGGATTCGACCAGGGCAGTATGGAGTGAAATTCTCCATATGATGACATCCATACACAGTGTGAGTTAACAGAGGATTGGATCCCACGGCAGAACCAACAGAAGGACAAAAAGTTGGCTCCGGGTAGTTCTGATTCAAGTGGGGACTGGCAGGTAGCTGGGTTGGAATACACAAGTTCACCGCATACGGTACGGTTGTGTTCGCAAGAGTGGGGAATGCAGGCTCATGTTTATTATTCCACACCACACCTTGACC